ATTGGCTCATACAATTGCGAGTTAACATTCTAATAACAACATCCAAATACGGTGGGAGTTGTCATTTGGCGGGTTTTTAGTAAAATCCAATCTCTAGAACTATGCAATACACCAACCACTCTATTTCAGAACGAACAAGGTACGAACCTGAATTGTCCGATTTTGTAGACCAATCGATATCAGATTGAGTCCAAAACTTGGGGAACATCAAAATATGGTGGGAGGAGCCATTTGGTGGGTTTTGAGTGAAATCCAATCTGTAGAACTATGCAATACACCAACCACTCGATTTCAGAACGAAGTTCGTACCAACCTGAATTGTCGGATTTCATGGATCAATCGATATCGGATTGAGTCCAAAACCTGGGGAACATCCAAATACGGTGGGAGTTGTCATTTGGCGGGTTTTGAGTGAAATCCAATCTCTAGAACCATGCAATACACCAACCACTCTATTTCAGAAAGAACTTGGCACGAACCTGAATTGTCCGATTTCGTGGACCAATCGATATCGGATTGAGTCCAAAACTTGGGGAACATCAAAATATGGTGAGACACGCCATTTGGGGGGTTTTGAGTGAAATCCAATCTCTAGAACTATGCAATACACCAACCACTCGATTTTAGAACGAAGTTTGTACCAACCTGAATTGTCCAATTTCATGGATCCATCGATATCGGATTGAGTCCAAAACTTGGGGAACATCGAAATATGAAGGGAGGAGCCATTTGGTGGGTTTTGATGGAAATCCAATGGCTAAACCTATGCAGTACACCAACCACTCCATTTCAGAACGAACTTCGTACAAATCTCAATTGTCCGATTTCATGGACCAATCGATATCGGATTGAGTCCAAAACTTGGGGAACATCAAAATATGGTGGGAGGCGCCATTCAGTGTTTGATTGAAATCCAATCTCTAGAACTATGCAATACACCAACCACTCCATTTCAGAACGAACTTCGTACGAATCTGAATTGTCCGATTTCATGGGCCAATCGATATCGGATAGAGTCCGAAACTTGGGGAACATTAACATACGGTGGCAGGCACCATTTGGTGTTTGATTGAAATCCAATCTCTAGAACTATGCAATACACCAACCACTCCAATTCAGAACGAACTTCGTACGAACCTGAATTGTCCGATTTCATGGACCAATCGATATCGGATTTAGTCCAAAATTTGGGGAACATCAAAATATGGTGGGAGGAGCCATTTGGTGGGTTTTGAGTGAAATCCAATCTCTAGAACTTTGCAATAAACCGAGCACTCCATTTTCATAACGAACTTCGTACGAACCTGAATTGTCCGATTTAATAGACCAATTGTTATTGGATTGAGTCCAAAACTTGGGGAACGTCGAAATATGGTGGTTGGATCCATTTGGTGGGTTTTGAGTGAAATCCAATCTGTAGAACTATGCAACACACCAACCACTCCATTTCATAACGAACTTCGTACGAACCTGAATTGTCAAATTTCGTGGACCAATCGATATCGGACTGAGTCCAAAACTAGGGGAAAATCAAGATATGGTGGGAGAAGTGATTTGGTGGGTTTTGAGTGAAATCCAATCTGTAGAACTATGCAACACACCAACCACTCCATTTCATAACGAACTTCGTACGAACCTGAATTGTCCGATTTAATAGACCAATTGTTATTGGATTGAGTCCAAAACTTGGGGAACGTCGAAATATGGTGGTTGGATCCATTTGGTGGGTTTTGAGTGAAATCCAATCTCTAGAACTACGCAATACACCAACCACTCCATTTCAGAACGAACTTTCTACGAACCTGAATTACCCGATTTCATGGACCAATCAATATAGGATTGAGTCCAAAATTTGGGGAACATCAAAATATGGTGGGAGGAGTCATTTGGTTGGATATGAGTGAAATGCACCCTCTAGAACAATGTAGTACACCAAGCACTCGATTTCATAACGAACTTGGTAAGAACCTGAATTGTCTGATTTCTTCGATCAATCGATATCGGATTGAGTGCAAAATTTGGGGAACATCAAAATATGGTGGGAGGAGTCATTTGGTTGGATATGAGTGAAATGCACCCTCTAGAACAATGTAGTATACCAAGCACTCGATTTCATAACGAACTTGGTACGAACCTGAATTGTCCGATTTCTTCGACCAAACGATATCGGATTGAGTCCAAAACTTGGGGAACAACGAAATATGGTCGGAGGAGTCTATTGGTGGGTTTTGAGTGAAATCCAATCTCTAAAGCAACGCAATACACTATCCACTCCATTAAGGAACGAACTTCGTACGAAGCTGAATTGTCCGATTTCATGGACCAATTGATATCGGATTGAGTCCAATACATGGGAAACACCAAAATATGATGGGAGGAGTCATTTGGTGGGTTTTGAGTGAAATCCAATCTCTAAAACTACGCAATACTCCATCTACTCCATTAAAGAACGAACTTCGTACGAACATGAATTGTCTGATTTCATGGACCAATAGATAACGGATTGAGTCCAAAACTTAGGGAACAACAAAATATGGTGGGAGGAGTCATTTCGTGAGTTCTAAGTGAAATCCAATCTCTAGAACTATGCCACACACCAACCACTCGATTTCATAACGAACCTCGTACGAACCAGAATTGTCCGATTTCATGGACCAATCGATATCGGATTGAGTCCAAAACTTGGGAACTTCAAAACATGGTGGGAGCAGTCATTTGGTGGGTTTTGAGTGAAATCCAATTTCTAGAACTATGCAATACACCAACCACTCCATTTTATAACGAACTTCGTACAAACATGAATTGTCCGATTTCATAGACCAATCTATATCGGATTGAGTCCAAAACTTGTGGAACATCACAATATGGTGGGAGGAGTCACTTCACCAACCAATCCATTTCAGAACGAACATCGTACGAACCTTTATTGTCTGGTTTCATGGAACAATCGATATCGGATTGAGCCCAAAACTTGGGGAACATCAAAAAATGGTTGGAGGAGTCATTTGATGGGTTTTGAGTGAAATCCAATCCCTAAAACTATGGAATACACCAACCACTTCATTTTCAGAACGAACTTCGCAAGAACCTGAATTATCCGATTTAATGGACTAATAGATATCGAATTGAGCCCAAAACTTGGGGAACATCAAAATATGGTGGGGGGAGGCATTTGATGGGTTTTGAGTGAAATCCAATCCCTAAAACTATGGAATACACCAACCACTTCATTTTCAGAACGAACTTCGCAAGAACCTGAATTATCCGATTTAATGGACTAATAGATATCGAATTGAGCCCAAAACTTGGGGAACATCGAAATATGGTGGGAGGAGTCATTTGCCAGGTTTTGAGTGAAATCCAATCTCTGGAATTATGCAATACATCAACCACTCCATTTCTGAACGAACTTCGTACGAACCTGAATTGTCCGATTTCTTGGACCAAACGATATCGGATTGAGTCTAAAACTTGGGGAACACCAAAGTATGGTGGGAGGAGTCATTTGGTAGGTTTTGAGTGAAATCGAATCCCTCAAACTATGCAATACTCCATCCACTCCATTAAAGAACGAACTTCGTACGAACCTGAATTGTGTGATTTCATGGACCAATAGATAACAGATTGAGTGCAAAACTTGGGGAACATCAAAATATGGTGGGATGAGTCATTTCGTGGGTTCTGAGTGAAATGTAATCTCTAGAACCATGCCACACATCAACCTCTCGATATCATAACGAACTTCGTACGAACCTGAATTGTCCGATTTCGTGGACCAATTGATATCGGATTGAGTCCAAAACTTGGGGAACATCAAAATATGGTGGGAGGAGTCGTTTGGTGGGTTTTGAGGGAAATCCAATCTCTATAACTATGCAATACACCAACCACAACATTTCTAAACAAACTTCGTACAAACCTGAATTGTCCGATTTCATGGGCCAATCGATATCGGATTGATTCCAAAACATGGGCAACATCAAAATATGGTGGTTGGAGTAATTTGTCGGGTTTTGAGCGAAATCCAATCTCTAGAACTATGCAATACACCAACCACTCCATTTCAAAACGAACTTTGTACAAACCTGGATTGTCCGATTTCATGGACCAATCGATATCAGATTGAGTCCAATACATGGGGAATACCATAGTGTGGTGGAAGGAGTCGTTTGGTGTGTTTTGAGTAAAATCAAATATCCATAATTATACAATACACCAACCACTCCATTTCTGAACGAACTTCGCACTAACCTGAATTGTCTGATTTCATGGGCCAATCGATATCGGATTGAGGCCAAAACATGGGGAACTCCAAAATATTGTGCGATGAGTCATTTTGTTGGACTTGATTGAAATCCAACGGCTAAAACTATGCAATACACCAACCACTCGATTTCATAACAAAGTTTTTACGAACCTGAATAGTCCGGTTTCAGAGACCAATCCATATCTTATTGAGTCCAAAACTTGGGGAACTTCAAAATATGGTGGGAGAAGTTATTCGGTGGGTTTTGATTAAAATCCAATGGCTACTCCATTTCAGAACGAACTTCGTTTAGGGCCCATGCTTACTGTCACAAGAAACAGATGTTCAGTAAAACTGGGATGTACAAAATGCGGAGTCTACAGGAAGTTAAACCTAATGCTCTGATACCAAGTCGACAGGACCCGACCCAAATTCAACTTTGGAATCCGAGTCGAACCCTGTTTGTGATCGACACCTGGTGGTTGCCGAACACAATTGACTTGGTTGCCCTTTTTGATTAAAAACTTAATTCCCTTAAATCCTGACTTCTACCGAAAATTCGGCAGAGTCTCCCCTGTAAATTGAACGTTCCCAAAATTTACACCTGTCAACAAGTACTTAAATATATA